TATGGAGGAATTTGGTTACCCGCTTCGGCATTCCATATGCCATCGTTTCGGACAATGGCCTCCAGTTTACAGACAAGAAGTTCAACACTTTCCTGGAAAACCTTGGAATTCGACATCGGTTTACGTCGGTGGAGCATCCTCAGTCGAATGGCCAGGCCGAGGCGGCAAACAAGGTTATTCTCACCCAACTCAAAAAACGTCTCGGTACGGCTAAAGGAGCATGGACCGAAGAACTACCGGAAGTCCTCTGGGCTTATCGATGTACGCCACAGTCGACTACCAGGGAAACACCCTTCTGTTTGACGTACGGCGTAGATGCCATGATTCCGGTGGAGATAGGCGAGCCCTCGTTCAGACGACAGCATTTTCAGGAAGAAGTTAATGACGACTCACACCGAGCGGAGCTTGATGTCCTTGAGGAAGTGCGAGAAGAAGCACGAATAGTGGCAGAAGCGTGCAAACAACGAATGAGCCGACGATTTAACTCTAACCTAAAGTCGAGGACTTTTCGGGAAGGCGACCTAGTCTGGAGGGCAACTGGTTCGGCCAGGCAGAACGCTTCCGAGGGCAAACTCTCAGCTAATTGGGACGGACCGTTTCGCATAAGGCATGCACTCAACAATGGGGCATATAAGTTTGAAGAGCTATCCGACAAGGTCATACCAAGGACCTGGAATTCTACTCACCTGAAGACATACTACAGTTAAATTTGGTTTTGTAATGCCTGGACAATGTAATTATACCACGGTGCACTCTTTTCCTTGACCGATCTTTTTTCCCCTTATAAAAATGTGAAAAGGGGTTTTTGGTCGGCAAGGTTTTTAACGAGGCATCAATCCATCAATGAGTATACATTTCACATTTTGTGTTGACAAATATCTACAAAATTTTTACAAGTCTTCCCTCCCGAGATCTCTCTCGGCCAAGGATGCGGCTTACGTTAATTTTTACAAGTCTTCCCTCCCGAGATCTCTCTCGGCCAAGGATGCGGCTTACGTTAATTTTTACAAGTCTTCCCTCCCGAGATCTCTCTCGGCCAAGGATGTGGCTTACGTTAATTACAAGTCTTCCCTCCCGAGATCCCTCTCGACCAAGGATGCGGCTTACGTTAATTTTTACAAGTCTTCCCTCCCGAGATCCCTCTCGGCCAAGGATGTGGCTTACGTTAATTACAAGTCTTCCCTCCCGAGATCTCTCTCGGCCAAGGATGCGGCTTACGATAATTTTTACAAGTCTTCCCTTCCGAGATCTCTCTCGGCCAAGGATGTGGCTTATGTTAATTACAAGTCTTCCCTCCCGAGATCCCTCTCGACCAAGGATGCGGCTTACGTTAATTTTTACAAGTCTTCCCTCCCGAGATCCCTCTCGGCCAAGGATGTGGCTTACGTTAATTACAAGTCTTCCCTCCCGAGATCTCTCTCGGCCAAGGATGCGGCTTACGTTAATTTTTACAAGTCTTCCCTTCCGAGATCTCTCTCGGCCAAGGATGTGGCTTATGTTAATTACAAGTCTTCCCTCCCGAGATCCCTCTCGACCAAGGATGCGGCTTACGTTAATTTTTACAAGTCTTCCCTCCCGAGATCCCTCTCGGCCAAGGATGTGGCTTACGTTAATTACAAGTCTTCCCTCCCGAGATCTCTCTCGGCCAAGGATGCGGCTTACGATAATTTTTACAAGTCTTCCCTCCCGAGATCTCTCTCGGCCAAGGATGTGGCTTACGCTAATTACAAGTCTTCCTTCCCGAGATCCCTCTCGGCCAACGATGCGGCTTACGTTAATTTTTACTTTCTTCCCTCCCGAGATCCCTCTCGGCCAAGGAGGCGGTTTACGTTAATTTACTAAAATAAAAAAGTTTTAAATCAGCACATGACAGCCAAAAAATTCATTCATTGATAAGGCACTAAGGGCCTACAAAGTACATTCATTGATATTAGCACTCTCGGCTCGGTATTACAAAATGTCAAACTAAAAGCTTAAGACACCACCTCAGGCTCCCCCTGGACTGGACCGTCTTCAGGAGCGTTTTCGTCGCACGCCGTCTCCTCGTCATTCGGCCTGGGAGGCCGAGACGGGGCCTCCTCGTCAACCTGTTGATCCCGAGGGATGGCGGACAGATCCACCAACTTACCCTGGAAAAAGTCCTTCGTCATGTCCAGTTGAAAGTCCGGGGGAAAGTCGCCAAAGAAGCTCGCTTGCCGAGCAGCCTGAGCAAACCCAGCTTGATGCTGAGACAGAACCTTGCTGCGAGCTTTTTCCCTGAAGGACCCGAAAGCCCGTTTTTCGGTTTCCAGCTCCTTACTCAGGATGGCAAACTTCTCCTTCTCACCATTCAAGGCCACCTCCAGATGTTGGACCTTCAGAGCCAGGT